TATTACCTATTTTGAATACAATAGGTATTCACCTCAAAATTTCTTTTCAAGGGGGACAGTAAGAAATAAAAAGTCCAAAGATTCACTTTAAAAGTGAGCCACTAACTAGTGACAGGTGCCAGGGGATCACTCATATAATCCCAGATACTTGGGAGGCTAACATCAGGGAGGACTGGGGTCCAAGGCCAGGTCAGGCAAAGAGTTTGAGAGAACCCATCTCAAAAATGACCAGACCAACATGCACTAGAGGTGTGGCTGGAGTGCCTGCTTGAAATGAACTCTTTAAACCCTTAACTTTCTTGGAAGTTTCAATTACTGATTCTAAGGGATACAATGTGGATGAAGACTTGGGACAAATCTAGAGTGTTTATTTGTTGATTTTTTTTCCTGTCACAAATAAGCACACAAAATACTATAATCCTCACTGTAAAGTAGCAAAGTACAGAAAGACTAAAAACATTGTAGTATTATTGGGTCCCTTCATGTGGGTTCAGAAGTTATATGTTGGCCACTTAAAAGGTAATGAGGGTTGCAAGTGAGCCACCAGTCCAGCTTCCAGCTACTCAAGAAGCAGAGATCAGGAGAATTATGGTCGGGAGCCAGCACTCAAAACCAGACTCCGCAAATAGTTCTGGAAGACCTTATCTCATAAAAACCCACTACAAAACAGGGCTGGTAGAATGGCTCAAATGGTAAAGTGCATGCCCAGCAAGCAGTGAGACCCTGAGTTAAAACTCCAGTGCCACCAAAAACAAACAAAGAAGCAAAACAAAACACCCCACAATGACTAGGGTGGAGAATAGTTTTTGGATTAAAAACACAGTTCCACATCTAGTCAAATGGAGGGCACCATATTTTCCCTTTCTGCAAGTGTTCAGTTTCTGTGGTGTCCCAACACCATCAGGGCTGCTGACTCCCAAGATACTACTGATTTTGGTGACCCTGAGTGTCACATTCTGTCTGGAGCAGGGCCAATGTGAGGTCCGAGTCCTCCCCAGTCCCACCACCCACCTAGAAATGATTCCAGATCAGCAACTCAGGCAGGGCTGGATGCTGGCATGCCAGAGCATCTGCAGTCCTTTTTGTGCTTCCCTGCTGTGGCTGAGACTGTACTGTGGAAGGCTTCAAGGACTTCTCTTTCTCCCCTCCTTTCCCAATTTGCAAGTACTTCCTTCTGTGGCATCCTTGCTCTGGGATGCAGGACGCCATTCTAAGCCCCCTTACACCTTGGAAAATGTTAACACCATTATACTCCTTTGAATTTAACACGCAGGCCACAGACCAAAGCCTGAGATTCCTCGCTTGTTGAGGTCCGGCGCAGGCAGGACCATCCTGTCCGTGTTTCAGAGTCCCTGCCCACTACCATCCTCAAGTTGTCTCAATACATCTCCAGCTGCCTCTCTTCCCAGTCGCAGCTTCAGGGGCTGCTATTGGAAATGCTGGTCCTTCCAGGAGACCAGAGTCGGATCGCCCCTCCCCATCGCCTCCTCTCCTCCCACCATCTATACAGTCCAGGAACTGGACAATTGTAGCCAGTTCACAGACACACCAGGGGTGGGGCTGGACATTTTCGGGGCCGACTGTCAGCCAAAAGGACCTGGGCCAACCCCAGGAAGAATGGCTGCGAGACTGTGGTGCGTGTTTGCCAAAGAAGGTCTCCCATGATTTCTTTGGAATCCATCAGTACACTCATATTTAATATGTCCATACATAACTTGTTACGTGTCTCTAATCTTTACAGCAACCGTCCTTACTAAGCACCCATTTTACAGAAAGGTTAAGAAATCTGTCCAAGGTCACAGTGCTCAGATGCCTGGAAGCCGTGGGGCTGTTTGTATTCAAACCCAGAATTTTCTGACTCTAAGTGTTCTTGGCAGTAGTCGGAAGCTGGCGTCAGGTGTACCCGTATCTGGGTTGTCCTTTAAATCGAGGATCTTTTTAATTTAAGAGCAGATTGAATTCTTCCTTCACTTCCTCTTCTATCGGTGGTACATGCTCACACGCCAGCGTCTACTGCTCCCGGAAAACAATCACGAATTGTACATGGATAAATTCCGTGCAGGACTGTCCCTGACTTGAAACCCAGGCTCAGCGTTTTGCGCTGAACCCGAATGGTCTCTGCTCCCTTCAATCTCTTAGTCCACGTCTCACAGCAGAGCATTTTAAGGTAGCTCTACATTCCCTGTTCAGCCTGGTCCTGGGAGCCTCTTTTCCGGTCTAAAGCCCTGTTCACCACTGCCCGGCTGCCGGGCCTGTGGACCTAACTCCATCTGCAGCAAAGTTCCAAGGTCAACCAGCCGCAGGACTTCCCCCAAGATTCTTGAGGGCAGGACTTGGAGGGAGAAGGGGATCCACTCGTGACCTGACTCTCCTGCAGGCCTCCAAGTTCCGCCCCAAGCCAATGGGCGGTGGGCCGAGAAAAGGCAACGAGGACTTGGGGTTGCAGCTAGCTGGCTCGGACAGCGCGGAGGCGGCGGGGCTGCCGCGCCTCCAGCCATGCGTGAAAGTCTCCCGGGAACATCGATCTATCACCTCCCTTTAGGGACCTAGAGCGGGAAATTTCCATTTTCTGTTTTGGGAATTAGAAACGAAAGCGATCTGACTCTGGCTCTTCTCTACCGCCTCTGTCCTTCCACCGAACGCGGGGCCAGCGGGGTTCGCAAGGCCGCGCCGCGCTCCCGGGCGCCGGGGTCCGGCGCAGCCTGGGGTCCCGCATGGTTTTACCCGCGTGTCCTTCCTGGGTGGCAAACCTCGGGAGCGGACAGGGTTTCGGGGTTCTCTAAGCAGCGACGGATGGGCTGGGGGACCTCATTCCCACTCCTGCGCCCGGGTAAGAAGTCGTGGACACTCTCAAGGCTGGTTGCCCCGGGTGGAGGGCAGTGCCAAGCCAGGCCATGACCCTGGTGGGCGGAGTGGGAGCCCCAGGACACTTTGCACCGGCATTTATTACAAAAGTAGCAGGAAATCCCTTCTCCTGAACGAGGGACAATGAGCAAAGACTAAAGGGAATTCAAGTGGAAAAATACGTGAATGCCACAACGACCCACAGCTGGAGCAGAGAGGTTTGCATTGAGCTCTGTGTGGTGCTTTTTCTTTCCGGGAAAAGGCATTATTACGAGTTTTCTTCAACAAGTGTTTGGGGAAACTTTCCCTCTAGATGGTTTATTTAATAAACCCGCTCCGGTTGGACCTTAGGTGAAATTGGTTATTTTCTCCTGCACAACCGGTCAAACTGTCTCTGTCCTTTCCCAAAATCATTTCGGAGGGTAGAGCTATTTGAGTTAAAAATGATTTTGAAATGAACTAAAACATTCTGCAAGACTTGTTAGGTTTTCAATTAAACTTAGGTGTTCATCCCTATGGTTATACACACACCAATGAACAATTATTAAGTCATTTCAAGTAATTTGCAGTCGGATTGAAGAAAATTTCTGGGCAACTCTTCCCCTCCCCCCCAAATAATTTTTTATTCTTCTTAAAGTTACTTTATAAAATTTTAGCACACTTTTTATGGCTCAAAGGTTAGCACAGTTCTGTGACCTGCCTTGCACGGCTATTGTCTTTGCTGTGGATGCCTGGGGTGTGAGGTAGGGACTGGAGCTTTTAGAAATCGCCTAGGTGTAGAAAAGAAGGAGCAGAGAGCATCAAAATCTGGAAGGAACCTTCAAGAGGCCTACCAGCCCAGAGGCAGGTAAAACAAGGCAGGACCAGCCTCCTGGCCTCAATGACTTTTCCTACACCACCTGCTTTTCCTTTTATTTCTGAATCCTGTCAACTATATTTCTTTGAATAAATACTTACTTAAAAAAAAAAAAGAGTTCCAGTACTGTTAAGAGTGTATGTGTGATCAGTTATTCACACTTTAGGACAGACAACATGAATCAGTTATGTCATATCAAGGAGATAGACATTTCAGTTGAAAAGGAGACAGGTTACTGGAGAGCGGCTCTATGGTAGAGGATGTGTGAGGCCTGGGGTTCAGTCACCACCTCCAGAAAAGAAAAGACAGGCTGGGGAGAAACAGTGTGGGAAGTTGCCATGGGGGAGTTTAGGGTTTGAAGGGTATTGGGTGTGAGGATGAAGAAGAAAGGGAGGGACAGTGTGTCTCAGGACAAACTGCTTTGTTGGAGTTGGTCTCTCATCCAGGAAAGGGGAGGAAGCTCCCTTCTTTCATGTTTATGTTGTTATTTCACCCCTTAGTTCCCAATGGTTGGGTCCAAACAGGTTTTTATTGATTAATCTGGGTACCTAATCACAGTTTATAACACCATGGGAGAACATATTTGGAGGCTCAAGGTATTCGACTTCTGAAGTTTTAGAACATAATTTTTCATAAATGTAGGATTACCTCCATTTATTTTGCATTAACTAACAATTTAAAAATTACTTATGAATGTAGGTGGTGAGTACCTGTAGTCCCAGCTATGCAGGAGGCTGAGGCGGGAGGACCATTTGAACCCAAGAGATGGAGGCAACCTGGGCAAACTGGGCAAAATAGCAAGATCCCATGTCAAAAAAATTAATTGTGGTTAAATGCAATCACGCAATATGTAAGTATACTTTAGGACAAATAAAAATTTATAGAGAAATTATAAAACAGCACTATATTTTTCAAAATCCTAGCAAGAACACAATTTGAGAGAATTACTATTAGTCATACCAATTGCTAATTAATGTTGCTAGCATTACTAAAATTACTAATTATTAGTTAATACTATTTGAGTATGTAATTAACATCTCCTTTGCTATGGATATCTACTATCATAGTAATTCTTTTAACAAATATGTGGTTATAAAGCACAATGTTTATAACTTCTGCTTATTTGATTGAAAAACAAAACAAATAAAACAAAAACCAAAAACATAGTCAGAGAATTGGATATTTGAAATACTGCAAATATCTTTTACTGCATTTAATCTGTATAATACTAATACATACAGAAGACGTTATGGCCAAATGGATTTTTATTGCCTGCAAGCTGTTACACTTAGAAGCAGGAGAATATGGTATGTTGATGGAAGCACACTTTAGGATTTCTTACACTTGAAAGAAATGTTCAGAATGGAACAGGACACAAGCCCATTGGATAATCTAGTCTACATTTGGATTTAGCAGTCCTTGAAGCCCAGAATTACACCTGCAATCCAATTCAGAGTAATAAAAACCAAGGTTAAATTTTTAGACACATCACAGCACTGGGAAATTAACTATAAAACAAACCTTGGCATGAGTTATAAACCGTAAGGTACACACCATTTTAACAAAGATACAGTAGAGTTAGTGCAGTGATCAGAAGTGGCGTCTTCTCACAGTGTGGCATTGTGGGAAATACATATCTCATTTTACACACAGTACATTATTTGGTGTGACTACAGGGAAAAACAAAAGTCAAATCTGCTAAAAAAAAAAAGTAAGAAAGAACAGAAGGAAAGTTCATGTTCTAATGACAAACAGAGCCAAAGCTCATTTTAGGTCAATCTACACGAAAGCAGATGATCTTTCAAAAAATATTTGGCATTTTGCCCTTTAATTGTACCTCCTAGTTTACTTCCTAAAGAAATACAAGCATTTTTATTTGGCCAAAATAGTAAATGTAATTACAAGGACAAGGTGCACAAAAACAATGTCAAAGTCCTCCTTCCTCTCCAGAGCTGTGTATCATCAGCCTTCTTCTTCTTCATCACTGTCCCTCATAGTAAGGCCCTGCAGCCCTCCTCCTTCTGAAACAGAGGCTGCGGTCTCCTCTACTGTTAAACGTCTGTGCAGAGTATCATATGTCTTACTGTTCAGTGTTCCTTCCAACACACCTTGCAATCGGAAGTCCCTATAAGTTTTCTGGAAGAAGAAGAAAGAAGTTGCTTAGATAAGTTAAATTACATGTATGTACCTATATATGTAAATCTGTATGTTCTCAGTTGGCATTTAAAAAATCATCTTGAAAAATTCACTAATGGATTTCAGACTGTGGCTGCCCATGTCAATCATCTTCCTGGTGTATTTCTGGGGAGAAAATGGAACAAGTGACTTTGGATGGTGCTATTCACACCCAGAGCAAAATGTGCCTGTCACAAACACTACCAATTGCACAGAATTTACTATCTGAATAATCTTTAACAAAGATAACATAATATGTAACTCATGTATTTAATTTTTAATTATGAAGGGGTTTTTAGTTTTTTCAATTGAGGAGCCTTTCATATAGAAAAATGTACTTCATTTTATAAAATACATTAGTTTTGAGGCTAAGTGTATGGAGGAGAGGATTAATCCTATTATTAGTAAAAGAAGTTCACATTTTAAGCTTTGGTGAATCATAAAATATATTTACTTGTACCACTGGATAAACACCTATGAGAATTTTGCATTTTCTCTTCGTAATTCCCTTAGAATGGGAAGTGCCAAATTTTGGCAAAAAGCTTCCATGGGTAGGATAATAAAACAAGTATTTACATTTGTTATGAAACAATAAATTATAACTTATATGTTGTAATTATAATTTTACATTACATATAAAATAGAATATCATGTTGTTTTATAGTGATTCTTAAAATAAAAATCAACAAAACTCTTCTATAGTGCTTAAAATGTATAATCTATCAAGCTTCTCTTATGTTTAATTTTATCTTTTTTTCTTCTTTTTTTGGTGGTATTGGGGTTTGAACTCAGGACCTCTCACTTGCTAGGCAGGTGCTCTACCACTTGAACCACTCTGCTAGCCCTTATATTTACTTTTAAAAGTGTGATTGTCCTCACATATTTTTCACTGCTAAACAAAACTTACATATTACTGTTGATTTTAAAATTAGAGAAAACCTCAAAGCTAGTTAAATTGAGAATCAAAAAACAAATGAAGATATCCTGTTTTGAGGAACTTTCATGGGCATTTGGCCATTTTTTTTTTTTTTGCCAGTAATGGGGGTTGAGGGTTGAACTCAGGGTCTCAAGCTATCTAGCTGCTGTACCACTTGAGCCACACCTCCAACTCTTATTGGATTGGTTATTTTTGAGAAAGGATGTATCCCTTTACACCTAGAGGCCTGGACCATGACCCTCTTATTTATGCTTCCCCTAGTAGCTGGATGACAGGCACATACCACCACACCCAGCCATTGATTGAGACAAAGTCTCCTGAAGTTTTTGTCTCAGCTGGCCTTGAATTGCCATCTGTAGCTAGGATTATGGGTTTGAGCCACCACACCTAGCACTGAAGGTCCTTTTTAATGCTAAGTATCTTTTGTGATTCTCTAACTGTCCTGTGTTAGTTAGATTTAGAATGTTAAGTGGTCAGAGTTCAATAGACTGCCCAATGTAGCAGAACATACCAATATGACATTGTTCTAAATGGTTGTTGGTAGCTACTGTTTTGTTGCTGTTGTTTGCACTTAATAGATGGAAAAAAGTCAAATAAGAAAGCAATATTGTACTTCATGGACCAATATTATAACTCCAGTAGCTGGAAATTAACAGTAAGAGATTCTTACTTTCCTGTACAGAGCAGACATGTTCATAACATTTGTCATAACATTTAGAAAATTCAGACATTCGAACTGAAGGTACTTATTCATGTGATTCTGAAATGCATGCTAATCCCCTCATTTAACCCACCTGGCCTCTACTAACAGCCTTCTGGGGAACACAGTCATTACAAGGTAGTGGGAGCATGGGGGTTTTCACATTTCATCTTCCTGTCCTCTCCCACTTGAGTTATGTCCACAATGTCATCCCATGTTGCAGAAGTAACATGTAAACGGTAAGAGGGAAGGATGACACTTTTTTTTTATTTGGATAATTATTTGATATAAATAAAATTCATATCTGAAAAGCCCACCAATGTCTAAAAATAAACAGGACTCTGAGGAATGCCGTATTGTATCTGAGGTCAGTGACTTCATTGCAAGTATAACTTAGATTTAGAGATTTTTTTTTCTTAAATGATCACATCTATTTTCACTTTAATTTTAATAATTTATTTTAAGGCTTGTACAATCCACCATCCTCATATCTTCTTTCTAAGCTGAATAAATTTGTTCTGATGGAGTCATAGCTTACCCTGAGTCAGAAGTTATAGCTAATGTGTTACCATCTTACAACAAAACTCATAGTAATTCATGTTAGAAACAGTGAAGTAATTCTAAAAGATAAATTTTGTCTAGACAATTTGATCATTAATATACATGGCATTATTACCACAAGGACTAGTGTTAAAGACCATTATTTCTTTGTGGTTAAAAATATAGTAAGCACAGAAAATATTCATCAACAGATGATGCATCCGATATAAACTACTACTGCCCCACAGACAATTACAAACTGAGTTTATGAGTTCACCTTTTTTGCTTTATTAGAATGACTTCCCTTAGACTTATCTTAATTATCAGTGTTTGCCATGATTGATTTGAATTGTGGATTTGCGATCCCAAAGGCTTTCTAATTTTTACACAATTATGACCATTTCCCTATGCTATTAGCAAGCAGTCATCAGTTAGGTGAGGGCAGACATCCTTGCAATCTCTCTTCTATCTCTCTCTCATTCATAAATGTTATCAACACGTAGACATTCTTGGTAGCTGCCACTATGGTTTTGCTGGCTCTTCTTTAAGACAAGTGCCTGCCACAAGGTACTGCTCACTTGTCTTCTTTCTTTTCTCCTACCAAAAGAGGCAGTTGATTTATGTTAATTGCTTTAAATCTGGCCACTAGGGAGACTGCAAATACAAAAGCCATTTTGATTATTTGAGGATTCTACTTTTCTTCTTCTCAAATAAGTCATTCTGATGTTAAAACTTCATAAAAAATTTCATAGGCCTTAACTTTTCATGTAAATCTCAATGGGGTTTGTTTTTTTCTTAGTGAGCAACATGAATGAGCTGATTAGGGTTTAAGTGTCTTTACAGGGCAAAGCTGACTGTCATGAATTTTGATGATGTAGCTCTATGGGCATAGGAGAATGGCAATGCCTGTGAGAAACAAGAAGTAGAACTGGAGTTGAGTAGAGTTGAATATCTTTTAGCTTCTGAGTAGAATGCACAGCTCTGCTATAACATGCAGGCCAAGTTCAAGTGATCTGGATGGAAGGAAAGGCTTCTTACAGGCTTTCACAATTCTATGCATGTGTTATTTAATAGCTTTTCTTGTTTTGGCAGTACTGGGGTTTGAACTCATGGCCTTAAACTTGCTAGGCAGGTGCTCTACCACTTGAGCCATGTCTCAGCCTATTATTCATATAACTTCTTAAAAATTCATTGGAAATGATTATTGTGAATAAAACTATATAGGTTCTGAAGAACTGATGAATCTACATATGAAATTGGTTAAGGTATGCTTATATTCAAAATAGGGAAAAACAATTAAGGTATTGAGATATTAACTCACCCAGATTTCTATTGCAAAAATAATCATTTTAAATGATCTAATAGAGCTCTATGACTTGTAAAATGTATCATCAATTTAAGAAAGCATTGCTGAGTCTTGTGCAAAGCAAAACATATTTATAAAACCCAATTCCATATTTATCGGTCTTGACACCAATATCATAATGGAGACTATCTTAAGATAAACTGATCGTAATAGAGCACAAAATGTCACTCTAAAATATATAAAATTATTACTTGTTCTTTTTTGCTAAAATATTCACTGGTGAGAATATATAAGATCTATTCTCGTAACCAATTTTATGGAAATAATATGTTATTAGGAACCATAGTCAAATTGTATGCTTTGATTATAGAATTTTGTTTGTCAATTATACTCAATAGAGCTGAAAATAATTTTACTGATACTTGATCATTTACTATAAAAACATGTAAATATGAGAAAAGGAATATCTTTGAAGAAATAAATGATGGGAAAATATAAACATGAAGATCTTTAAATTCTAACAGCAAAATGCTTGAAATCTATCAGCTAATACCAGTTGGCTGATATGTAACTTTTGACATCCTCATCATAGTAAACTTTAGGTTGAAAATATGGCTGATGGTTAAAGATAACCAGTTATTTGCAATATAAATCAGAGACTGCAACTTTATGTGATTCATATATTTGGAAGGTAAATACATTATAATGATTATCTTTTATGAAAAAACACACTTAGCGTGAAAGTGCTCCAAGTCACATTTAAGGTTTCTTTGTAAAGAAAATGATACCCAATAAGAAGTGTTTTGGATCAGAAATATTTTGTTTATTATAGATAAAGTATCAACATTTTGTGGGAGGCAACAGTTTCAATTCTGTTGATGACTGATCAGGATTTACTGTTATGTGTCAGTCTAGGTCTGGTTCTATAGTCCAGTAGATTTGCTAACTTCTGACTTTGGAACAGAACTCTTCAATTTGTGGTTTCTTGTTAACTTGTGATAACCTGTGTGTCTACAGCACAAAAGAATTTGAAATTGAATTTAATTTGAATTAGACTGAAGGAACCAAGAGAAAGATGGAAATGTTTTAATGTGGATAGAAACTCCTTTTAATGATGCAACACAGTGGCTCTTCGCAAAGTTTAGTGTGTTAGAATCCTCTGGAGAGCTTGTTAATGTATAGATGGCTGGGTCTTTCTTCAGTGTCTGACTCCATAGTTCTGGAATGATACCCAAGGACTTGAAGTTTGGGTAAGTTCCCCAGGTGATGCTGATAATACTAGATCGGGAATGACACTTTGAGAAGTACTGCATAACTGTATGTATCCCTACGTAACATATATGTATAATATATATGTATGTGTATATGCACATGTGTCATTAATAATAAGTGTAAGTTTTCTGTTTCAAGGAACAGTTGGTTCTGAACAGCTTATAGTTAGGTTTTCAGCTATAATATGGAATTTCTGCCTCAGGTTTAAGACTTGGGGTACATTTTTACTTCTACTAGAACTTACAAAGTGTGAATCATTATGTAGAATAGATATATATTCAACTACTCACTAAGTATAGCATATATATTATTACCTTTTCTCTTGAAGAGCAACAAGTCAAAAATTGCCTATTAAATTTACATGACATCTACATTAGTAGTTTTGGATGGTCTCCAACACTTAAACTGGTCATCTTTACATATAAGAAGAGACATACTTCTACAAGAATTTAGGCAGTGACAGTGTGTTACTCTCATACCAGGCTATGATAACCTTTTCTTATTCAATTGGTAGGTACAATTGAAAGGCTCTTACTATGGTTCAGAATCCTAATAAATACGAAGTAAATGTATTATGAGAAAACACTTTATTTTTCAGGAAATTAGTGCAAAATTTTTGCAGACCATCCGCTGTATTCATGTAAATGTGCTAGGGAATATACATTATCTTACAATGTGATTACTTGATCACAAATATGTTCTTATTTATTAGGGCAAAATAAGATAAAATTATGTTTATTTAGTAATCTGAATAAAGATGGAAGTAAACAGCAGCACATCATTCACTGCTAATAAATTAGGCTTCTCAAGTATTTACATTCACTCAGCTAAATCAAGCTTTTTTTTTTTTGGTATGACAATATCTGGCCATGATTCTTTATAGTGTGGTGGGCAATTCACATCTAAACACACTTTGTTTACCTTCACAATCTTGATGAGCGTCTTCAGTTGGTAAATATGAAGCTGGAGATCTAGTCTATCAGCCAACCACACGCAAATGACTTTCATGGAATTGCTGTACCATTGCTGGAAGGAAGGATGGGGGCAGAGGGGAGGAGAACAAAAAACAACCTCTGCAGTATTCATTTAACAGATTCGGTAATGAGGGGGTAATGAAACACTCTGAAATGACCACAGATCAGCACTTGAAGTCAATATGCTATAATTTCCTGTTAAAAGAATTGTATGTTTTGCTAGAAAATCTGCTAAATTGACCTGGGCTGTTCTTTACATGAATTAGCATTACAGTTTTTCAGCTGTAACATATTCATGGGAAACAGTGTTTTTGCACTTTGCAGCCTGCTGGCCTGCTTTGCAATTTGTGAGTAACAATGGGTACTAAATACATATTATAGGTCTGAATGGATGGCCAAGCAGCAGGAAAAAAAAACAAGTAAATTATTTTCAAAGGAAAATTTCATGTTATGTAAAAATCAAATAGTAGATGGGTTATGACATACATCATGTAGTTAATACACAAAACAACATTTTGAAAGAGCAAAAGCAAAAAAATATTCACAGCTTACTAAACAGTAATCCTCAACCACATCTTTATCTACTCTCAGTTGGTATTTCCCAAGATGTTTTAAAACCATCTAAAAATCAAAATTTATTGACATCACAAGAAAGAACATTACCAAAATGGAATTCTTTTATCTTATAAGAGTCACAAAACAGATACCAGGCTGACCAGATCATGAAAGGAAAGGGTTCATTTCACTTCTTAAGTATTTTTGAAGGATTCATAATTTTTTTGTTCATTACAACTCTCTTGAGGGAAAAACTGAAATTCTCCTCTAAGTGAAATCCCTGTATATGAGAAGAAAAATCATATAGATGAACTTTTGTTTCTTAATTCTTTAAAAAAGAAAATGGTGACATTTTGAAGGTTTTGGTGATTATGTGAAATCTAGGTTTTTGTAATCCTATGAGAATAGTGCTACTTGTTCAGATGACAGAGAAATATCAACACCCACTCACCACTCAGGAAAGGGGAGAAAGTTTTTGAAAGAGAAGGGATGTTGTACCTCACTTGTATAAAACAGAGCGGCAGTCATTTCACATATATGCATATTCTTATTTTTAGTATTCAAACACCAAAAAGACTCTTAAATAATTTTTCCTCCATATAATAAAACAGTGAATGTAGTAATTTCTAAGAGAAATCTGGACATGGATCTATTAACACTGTGATGAAATTTAGTATAATAAGAAATGGTATTTTAAGTATAAATTTAAAATAAATTAGTTCATTTTATCATATACTTCTATTGTTAGTATACTGAGATAAGCAAATTAAAATGTGTAACTGATTTACAAAATACTGTCAATCAAATGGGTTGCAGAAAATGTCATTTTTAAATTGCAGGATAGATTTTGATTTAAAGAAAAATATACTACTTATGTACCTAGTTTTGCTACTTCCTAAAAAATACTTTCTATTTTTCAGGACATTTCAAAATATCAAAATAAGTTTTATAAAATGAGATACTTATACACCTAAATTCTTTAAAAAAAAAACTTAGTGAATTCACTACCTCAGTTGATCTGTTAAATCTCAAAATATTTTATAGATGCTTACTAATTTTAATTCCTGAATTAGTTCCATATTTATTTAAATTATTAATACACTCAGCCTCGAGCTCTATTTTAATGCAGGTAAACACTCACAGGTATTGACTGGCAATATTGAATAAGTAAACTTAACTAAGACTCATTTCCACATCACCCTCCAGATAATTTGGAAGCTAAAATGTTGTCAAACTGGACCAGGCTCTAAAAAAGTACAGTCCTTCTGTATGGAGAAAAAAATTTTCTTTTATGTTGGGGGAGAGAAATTATATATTACATAAAGTCTAGAATAACTTACTAATTAATCTGTGAGGCTATGTAGTTGCTTTATTCATGGTATGTTGTATAAATTTGAGAGAAATCAAAATAGTCTCAACACTACTACATATACATCTTTATATTCTTAAAAAAACCTTACATAACTTAAAACAATTTAACTTCATTTCCCATTATGTACAAGTGATACTTAGGATTATATGGTAATTAAAGGATATTTAATTATTGTTATTAATAATTATCAAATTATAATTTATTAGTAAATTACTAATCTAACTTCTTTCACATGGTGCTAAAATTATAAATTAAGAGACGATAAATGGCAGTGAAATAATGTGGAGTTAACTATAAAAACCCAGGTGATGTGAACTCTAAGTAAGGAATGTTTATGCTACTTTCCATCACTTTACTTTGAAGGCAAACAAATTATTCTTCACAGAAAAGTCTCTAAGAAAAACTGTTGTATCAGGTAACAGTGTATATTTTTGGTTCCTAAGTAAGGCATTTTGAAGAACTGCAGCTGAACTGAATAAATGATTAAGTGAAAGTAGTGGTTTATCTCAGAGTTCAGCCTAGGCAGTCACTAAGAACAGGCGAACAACAAAATGCCCAGTACACTGCTGCTTCCTTATATATGAGAAAACTGGAATACCCCCTCCTCCCCCTCCCCCCAACACACAACAGCTAGAGACACCAAACAGAAATCTCTAGTACTTTCCTATTTCTGCTGCTAGAATTACTATATTCTTTGGAGAACTGAAAATAAAGTAGGTTTTATTTTTTTCATTTTGAGAAAAGAGTTAAAATGGGGCTAGCTTCATTTCTCTCAACCAAACCAAACCAACCCTAAAAACAAACAAATAAAAAAAGAAAAACAATTTCTGAAGGATGAATGTGCAGTAAAGTCTGAATATTAGGAAATTGTCTTTTCATTTCATTACTGTTAATTTTATACTGTAACTTGATTGACTATTTGCTTTTCCCTTCAGGGGATGACAAGGAAGGGAGCTGCAGCTTGCACTGAAGCCAAGGGTATGGCATTCCCATTTTAATCTTTGCTGTGGTCTACATAGGAATAAAGCAGTAACTGTATATTTTACAACTTTTTCTACATCAATCTAAGACAGCAGCCTACCACTTAAACAAAAAATATATATATTTTCTTTTTGTGGTTCATTCAGCTCCTGTAAGGGCATGCATTACTCACTTCATTTTCTTGAGATACCTCTTTTAAAGCAAAAATAAAAGAGAAGGAAAGGCTAGGGTTGACTCTGTGAGACCCTTGTATTTATTCACACTTATTGTGCATGACTGTAGACTGGTAAATCATATTAGCAGCCCGTCTCCCCATCAAGCTGCTACTTGCTTTCCAGCCCTGGGAAGGTTCAACAAATCAACAGGAGCACGGAAAACAGAACATCAGTCTAATCTAGTGTTTAAGGTGAAGTTTTCAAACCCAATCTAAGAAGATCTTTAGAGCAAGCAACAAGCTGAAGGGCTCAGAAGGTGGTATTGACAATGAAAGAGTGTTGAAATATTGAGAAGCGCAGCACTTGTGCATTTTTAATAACAAGAGGGTCAACAAGGACACAGCTCCCTCAGTGCCAGGAGTTGCCACTGACTATGGAAATTGCCACACCAGGGCTATAAACGCTTGCAGTTCATCAGCTTTCTTAAACAGTTCATCAGCTTTCTTAAACACCCTGAACCCCCTCAGTGGACCTTTAGTCTTGAATTAACAAACCAAAGCAATGAAAGAGGGTGCAGCCTGAATGGCTGGCATTGATCCCCAACTGTGTCAGCACTGCTACAGGCCCTGAAAAACTCTCTTCATTGTCAATAGAAATTGACAAACCTCCTCTCCTAAATAGTGCAGCTGAGCCGGGCGGGATCCACGCAGCTGTAAAGGGCTCTGCTCCTGGGGCCGGGGAGCACTAACAATAGAACAAGCATGAGCTCTTTGTCAGTCGCAGACTCGGCAATTTTCTAACAAGGATTAAAGTTGTTTCTCCACAGAGCTGGTGAAAAGAGATTTAGCAACATGCTGTGCTTTCTTCACGCAAGTTAAAGAGAAGTAGTTAAGGAATCTCATTATTCTGTTGACTAGTGGGGGTACAAAACAAATACATTAAATATGCACAACTTCCTTTCTCCCCTAATTTATAACATTTTTGAGGATGAGTCTATCAAATATAACAGTTATCACCTGGGAATAAGCACTTCCCATTTATTTTGGAAGTTTTGTTTTTCAGAAGTCCAGCTGCTTGCCACCTGGAATGAGGTCTCAATACACACTAATGCACAATGCCTCTAGACCCTCTGTGGTTGATATTCCTAAATCTGAATCACAAGACCCCATAGGGTTTATATATGGCAGTTGCTCCTAGCAAATGATTTCTGTCAGAACATGGCTTCTGATGATGGCAAGGTAAAAACAGCTGCTTCAGTAGGGCACAAATCTGTGGCGTATTTCCTGCTTAAGTGTTTAGCTTTTTATTGATTATGAATTGGCACAACTAGATGGTATATTTTCATTCTGCTCCAGCTATGCTTGTCTCAGTAAATGATGAAATAAAGAAAGGACGAAAGAAAAAGAACAGCTAATATTTTTTCATGTATTAAAGATATGGAACGGCTACATTTTCATAGCATGTATGCATTTCTTCATTTATTTCAAAAGAAGATGTTTTATGAGTTGAGTTGCTGTGTTGAAATGGAATAACACCTAGAAATTCTCACTTTAGGAAATATGTACTTTTTAAAATCTAAAGTTGAAGTGAATAAGAGAACAAACAATGTTTTAAAATGCTATGATTGGGAAATATAAGCCAACTTTCAGATCATTTAATACCTTTAGAGAACAACAAAAATTTATAAACATTAATGTCCTGTAGTTCTACCACTATATTAATCATTAATGATTCATTAATTATTGAGTGTTTCTTTTCTCAACAATATTTCTATTTAATATAACTAAATTTGTGGCTCTGTTTCATTTCCCATTTCTAAACAAACACAAATTTTAAATTAGTGCTACGTTTGATACAATAATGCCATCATTTCCCTTCTCTATTCAAGGCATCCCACTGAAATTATCATACCTCAATTCACAGAATAGATTCAAAAGCTCATTTTGGAAGTTTTAAGTGTTTTTGTTGGCTTAGAATAAGATGAAGTCG